TGTGTCCTCACGTGCCTGGCAAGAGTGCCTTTCTCAGTGAAACTCATTTTACATACGTCACACTTGAATGGCTTTTCACCAGTGTGTGTCCTCATGTGAGCGACAAGATGGCATTTCTGAGTAAAACGCATTGGACAGCGGTCACAGCTGAACGGTTTTTCACCAGTGTGCTACATATTGTGCGTCTTTAGCTGACTTGCTCGTCCAAAACTCTTCCCGCACACTTCACATTTAAACGCCCCTCCGGTTCGCCCGCGCGAGTTCGCCTGCAGAGCGACACTGGGATTGCTTTTACTTCCGCTCCCGCTCCCGCTGCCGGTGTACTTCCGGTCCAGCTGCTTCTTCCGCAGCACCCGCGAGGCCTTCTGGTCCTCCTGCTGTATGTTCTGCACCGGCTGAGCGTCCCGGGTTTCATCCCGGACGGCACGAAGTACGGCCGAAGCACCCAGTTTTAATTCGTCGCCGGGAGGAGGCGCCACTTCCTCGTCGCGCTGCTCTGGCTGCGCCGCGCAGTCCCCAGGGTCACTCTCACAGCTCGCCTCGTCTACCCCTTCGCACTGCTCGTCCTGCAGCGAGAAGCACGCCGTCACCACCAGCCCCAGCTGCTCGTCCTCTTGTTTCAGCTCTTTCAGCTCGGGACCCTCGTCGACGGTGACATCTCCAGTATCCTCCCCGAGGGACGTCTGGCTGGTTGATCTGCGCTCGCCGCCTGCAACAAGAGCACCGCGTCAGACGCCGTCGTCGTCATATGAGTTCCGCCCCGCCACCAAGACCACCAGATGCGCGTGCGACCCCAACGTCGTCCGCCGCGGCGTATTGCGACGAGCAGGGGACGGTGCTCTTCTAGAGGGCTCAGGCGGAGCACTTCACTTCAGCGCGACACAGAGCCGTCCGGGCCGAACCAGCAGTAGCAGCAGCGGGGCCTGCTGGGCCCGCGGGACTGTTGCAGCACAGGAGCACGCGGCACCGCCGGCTGACCGTCCTGCTTAAGATCACGCGCTGACCGCCACAGGATCCTCACCAGAGGTGAACGAGGAGGGGCATCGCATGCAGCGGGAGCGCCGCGTCACGGCTGCGCCAGAAACTGCAACGGAAAGGTGCATAAGTTGATGTCTTTGAACAACTTGACCTAACAAGGGTGAGAGTGCAATAACAGTGGGTGTCGGCAGGTTCGAGAATGTTTTATTTATTAGAAAAAGTACAGCTTGTAAAGAAACCGCAAACAAATTGTAAACCTTTATTTAAGATCTATGTTTACAAGTTCTTTCGTGAGCATTAAGGTTAGATTTATCACTAAAACGTTTATCACACCCACCACACTGATAAGGCTTTTCCCCAGTATGTAATCTCCTGTGCGTCACAAGATGATTACTCTGAGTAAAACGCATTTTACACTTGTCACACTTGAATAACTTTTCACCAGTGTGTGTCCTCATGTGTTTGACAAGACTGTTATTTTGAGCAAAACTCATTTTACATAGGTCACACTTGTATGGCTTTTCACCAGTGTGTGTTCTCACGTGGCTGACAAGATTGTATTTACGAGTAAAACGCATTGAACAGAGGCCACAACAGTATGGCTTTACACCAGTTTGGAACATTTTATGCCTCTTCAGTTTACTCGCATATGCAAAACTCTTCTCACAGACTTCGCATTTGAAGGCCCCTCCGGTGCGCCCGCGCGAGTTCGCCTGCAGAGCGCCATTGGGATTGCTTTTACTTCCGCTCCCGCTGCCGGTGTACTTCCGGCCGAGCTGCTTCTTCCCCAGCATCCGCAAGGCCTTCTGGTCATCCTGCTGTTGGTTCTGCACTGGCTGAGCGTCGCGGGTTCGATACCGGACGGTAGAGCCTTCCTGCCTGGTTGCGTCGCAGGGAGGAGACGCCACTTCCTCAGGCTGCACCTCGCCGTCCCCAGGGCCGCCCCTCGCCGCGTCCTCCGCGGGGCACTGCTCGTCCTGCAGCGAGAAGCACGCCGTCACCACCAGCCCCAGCTGCTCGTCCTCTTGTTTCTGCTCGTCCAACTCGGGGTCCTCGTCGACGATGACATCTCCAGTATCCTCCCCGAGGGACGTCTGGCTGGTTGATCTGCGCTCGCCGCCTGCAACAAGAGCACCGCGTCAGACGCCGTCGTCGTCATGTGAGTTCCGCCCCACCACCAGGACCACCAGCATGCGCGTGCGACCTCAACGTCGTCCGCCGCGGCGTATTGCGACGAGCAGGGGACGGTGCTCTTCTAGAGGGGTGCCGAAGCACTTCGCTTCCGCGCGGCTCGGAGCCGTTCGGGCCGCACCAGCCGTAGCAGCAGTGGGTCCTGCCGGCCCCGCGGGACCGTGGCAGCAAAAGAGCATGCGCCTCCGCCGGCTGACCGTCCTGCTTCAGCTAGACGCGGTGGCCACCCCAGGGTCCTTCCCGGAGGTCACCCTCTGCTGAGCGAGGAGGGGCATCGCCTGCTGCAGGAGCCCCGCGTCACGGCTGCGGCAGAAACTGCAACGGAAAGAGGCATAAGTCGATGTCCTTGAACGACATGACCGAATGAGGATGGAAGTTCAATCAAGTGTAGCTATCGCCAGAGTCAAAAATATTTTATTGAATTGACGAAGTACAGCTCAAAAAAGCATAAGCAAACATAATCGAAACAGATAATTAAGGTCTATGTACAATTTCTTTTGTGAATCTTGATTTTGGATTTATCACTAAAACGTTTATCACACCCACCACACCGATAAGGCTTTTCGCCAGTATGTAATCTCATGTGCCTGACAAGACTGCCTTTCTCAGTAAAACGCATTTTACATACGTCACACTTGAAGGGCCTTTCACCAGTGTGTGTCCTCATGTGAACGACAAGGTTACTCCTATTAGTAAAACACATTCCACATACGTCACACTTGAATGGCTTTTCCCCAGTGTGTGTCCTCATGTGAACGACAAGAGTGCCCTTCTCAGTAAAACGCATTGGACAGAGGTCACAGCTAAACGGTTTTTCCCCAGTGTGGTACATTTTATGCCTCTTTAGACGATCTTCTCGTTGAAAACTTTTTTCGCAGACGTCGCACTTGAAGACCTCTCCAGTGCGCCCGCCCGAGTTCGCCTGCAGAGAGCCACTAGTACTGCTTTTACTTCCGC